GAGGAGGAGGAGGAGGAGGAGGAGGACGGCGCCATCGACAGGGAAGGTGAGGTCCACGAGGTCCGCCGGCTTGACGCCCGCGTCGCCCGCGCCCGCCCCCTCACTCTTACCTGCAATTGCGGGGTGCTACGTAACAGGAGCTGGAGAACAGCATTGAGGAGCTCAACCTATCACGCAAGAGACGACAATTACAGCGAAACGGGAGCTGCTGGCGATGAAGCCAATGAACCGCAGAGGGGAGCATCGTCAAAGAGGACACATACACCAGCACCACGGAGACAGCGAGGGACAGGCCATCGGCACGCTGCTCAGGATACTCAAAGATGACAACCACCGCATGGCAGCAGGCATCAGAAAGAATAAGGATGAGGCCACCAACGAGATCTACTCCCTCAGGAAGCACCTCAAAGACGAAGAAGAACACCAGCACAACGAGGCAGTAAAAGCCAAGTACAACCACACCGAGCTGCACACTGTCAGGACAGCTTCTAAGGTTAACCGATCCAGCGAGGTGACCATCGAACTGCAGAGGGAGCTCAGAGAAACACAACAACGAACGACTCATCGACAACAACAAGGACCGCACCGTCATGGAGCAGCAGCTGCTGGAGGCCCAGAGGAATGCGGCAGAAAGCAAGATGAAGGAGCACAAAAACAACATGACCATCCGTAGCGAGAGGGCTGAGGAGGAAGCCAGAATGCAGAAAGCACACGAAGAGCTACAAGTACAACAGAGGAGCCTGGAAACAACGGTATGCCGTATACGCGATGGATACCAGCAGCTGGTCTATAACATCGAGTGCCAGGTCAGAAAACGAGACGCTGAGCAAGCACAGCAACAGCAGGGTTACCTACAGGAAGTACCCACCGACGCCAACGAGCACGAGCACCAGGCGCAGTACAAGGTACTACAGGCAGAAGGACAAGTTCAGCTTTCGATGCAGAGGGCCGAAATGGGCTCAGCAGAACAACTGGATGCACTCCAGCACGAGATGCTCACCTATCGCCTAAGGGAGAGCCAGTGGAGGAACATGAGTGAAGGGGCCCCAGGACACACAAAAAAATGCACACAAATAAAACACATCCCCTTATGTTCCCATATTTTCTGGGTTTTTGTCTTCCCCCCACTTCCCATATTTTCCAATATTTTCGTGGAAATCGACAAATAATTGTGTCTGTGTGTTTTTTCCCTCGTGAATGAAGGAGATGCACGATAGGCGCACGGAGGAAGCGACCG